TGTGCAGAAGCTTTTTAGTTTGATGTAGTCCCATTTGTTTTTTATTTTTTGCCTTTGCTTTTGGAGTCAAATCTGGGAAATCATTGTGAAGTCCGATGTCAAGGAGCTTACTCTCTATTTTCTTCCAGGACTTTTATGGTATAGGGTAGCATCATTTTTTTAAATGATCATCATTGGACACAAAGAGATTGAGTGACTAACCCAAAGTCACACAATTATAAGGTAGTAGATAGTGGGACCTAGATCCAAGTCTAAAACGAAAGGCTGTTTTGTTCTACAACAATATAAGATCATATAGGGAAATTACATTACTCTAAAAAGTTTAATATGGTAAATTTTATGTTATGTGAATTACCTCAAGTTGAAAGTGGTAGGAAATGAAATTATAAGGGTTTTATACCAAGAGATACTCTTCATCTACTCATAATAGTCTTAAATGCATATTAATATGCATCTTAATAAAGGAAACCACTACCAATATGTTTGAAATAAGGAGAAAAAAATATCCCTACAAACTTCCTGAAGTCTCCATAGTAGACTCATTGGTGATTTTCTTTCTTTCCTTTTTCTACATTTTGATTCCTAAATACCCATGTGTTATGTAATATAAGGGAAGATTAAACTTTATCAGGGAAAATAAAGACGCTGTGATTAATGCCCAGCCCATCCATGACCTTAGAGGTATTCCTAGAGGTTGCTTTGTGCGTTCACATGTGTGTGTCTCATGGAGATTTGGAAACTATTGAACGCAGAGAGGAGATCCTGTTGCTGATGGAACTGGATCCCAGGTCCTTCCTGGGAGCACACTTGTCAGGTTGGAGAATTTCCCATCCTCCTGTCTTCCCTTCCTGGCACTCATTTCCAACTACCCCCCATTCAACTCCACCTTATGCCGTCAACCTTTAAGACAGGTCTCTAGCTATTGCCACCATCTGAGCAGAGAGGAGGAAGTCCCAATGCCCAGGTGGGGCCTGAACACGAACCCCTCAGGTGTGCATCCCTCTCTTTCCATTCAGTCCTGGTACTGACACCCATACCTGGGTGTGCGGCCTTAAAAGGAAAATTCAGAGGCGCAGGGAACTCTGATCTAGGGGAGACCAGTCGCCTGCCCTTACACATCATGATGCCCTGAGTCCTTCAGGCACTAAAGTCATTGGTCCCCTGTTTGGAATGTTCACAGTCAAACATTCTGTCCCTTCATATTGATTCATTCTTGTGACCGTCATTCTGATTAAACTGTTGTTTTTAGCAAACAACGTCCAGCCCTCACTTTGCGGTGCCTGAGTTCCTCAGTGGGGATCTGGCTCATGGGCGTCTTTCCTCTCATATTCATAGAACAAGGAGAAATAAGATGCCAGAAAATATCCCCTGAACCCCCCCATAGTGGGGCCACTTCTGGAAGTTCAAAATACCCCCTCTGCCTACCTAGCATCTTATTTTCATAAAATACAAGAGAAGGATGCCATTCAAGAGCCTTTCGGGACTCACAGCAAATTGTGTTCCAAGGCAACAGACATCCTCTTCCCCATTATCACAGACTGTCAGGATGAGACCTTCCCCTACTGGATTCATGTGGATTCAGAATCCCCAGGGTCACTCTCACACCTCACAGACCATGATGGATCTGGGGACCCTGTCCAGAAATGCAGGAGTGAGGAGATTCTAGGGCAAGCCCACCTTCCCAAGAGAACCCTGTGACTGCCAACAGCACTAGCACCCTGACCCACTTCTCAGCTGCTCACCCTATTACCCCGCATGAGGCTCCACCTTGACTCTATTCAATAATTTCAGTTCTCCAGCTTAACAGCAGCTCATCTGGAGGATGTTGTGTTGGATCTGAGCAGGATGACATAGGACCCCCAACATCCACACTTGGAGATTTGGGTAAATGGACGAGGCTCACGTCTGGACCAGATAGCAACAGAGATGGTCTCCAGGACCCACTGCACAAGGACCAACCTTTGCCCAAGGAGGTCAGCCCAGGCCCCATGGGGACCCAGACCTCTGGGGGACAGAAGATGAAGACTAAGCACCACTGGTGGGGGACCACAGGTCTGTATCCCTGGTAGGAGAGCAAGAGGCCAGATTATAGAAATGCCTGCCACCCCTCACCCATCAGTCCCTGCTCTCCTTTCCAGCCAGCCTGGCCTCACCCACCATTGGCTTTCCTTACATGTGGATTCTCACCACTTCCTGCCAGTACAGGGGATGCCTTCCTGGGGATCAAAACAAAGACACACAGAGCTGCCTGGATGGACAGCAGCCCCCACTGTCCTCCTTGACCTGGTGCCATGGTCTGGGTGGTCCTGGTGCCATGGTTTGGGTGGTCCTGGTCTGTCCAGCATCATCCCTGCCCATGCTCTGGAGCTTCATCCCTAGAGAATCTGGCTCAGGTTCATCTTAGTCCATTTTCATCAACTCTGATGTGTCAGACTTTGTAGGAATGGAGAGCACTACCTTGACAGGGTTGTCAGGATTCCAAGTAGAATCTAGCCAGTGTGCAGCTACCCTGGAGAGTTAGGACTAAGGCCATTACTGGGAGCAAAGATGAGTCCTGGCCAGGAAATGCAGAATTTGCCCTGCACTCAGCTTCCAAGTTGGCCCACTATGGCCTTCCTCCAAATGCTCAGGATGGGACACGGGTAGTAAGATATCACCAGCCTGCCTGGGAGCTGCCCAGGGAGACTGAGTGCATCCAGGCTGGCAGACAGGTAGGATCTGGGCTGATTCCATGCACATTTGGACAAGAGAGCATCTACGCCGTATTCACCGATAGGAATAAGGTTAACTTATTCCTTAATCCTTATCTTCTTATTCACTCCACGTGAATAAGAAAAGACATCCACACACCAGGGAGGAAACTGTGAGGCCTTCAAAAGCCTTTAAGTCAAAGTAGGATCCCTGAATAAAGCAAAGACAATCTGAAAAAGTAGAAGACTTGACCTGACCCCAGACCCTGCCCATACACACACACACAAACACACACACACACACACACAGCGCGCGCGCGCACGCTCACATCTAATGAACTACTATCTTGTTCACTGTAGCGATCTCCTTCCCCACCTGGATGGCACCGCTTGGAATCAAAAGCAAGGTGAGTGGCCCAGCAGAAACCAGGAGGCAAGAAATCCCTCTGTGAAGCCCATCCATTGCCCCCAGGGTCCTCCACACTTGCATGAAGCTCTCTGACCCCCTCATCTCCTTCTCCCCAGACACTCTCCAGCTTCTTTAACAGAGTCAAGGTTCTGAGTGAAAACTTCAAGTCATCCTCTGTTCAGAACACTATTCAGGTAAGGGCAGGACCCAGGGGAGGCAAGGTAGCGGCATCCCATAGAAGCCCAGGGAAGATTTAGTCTGGGAGAAGACAGAGTCCCAACACAATGGCGCACTGCTCCAAGGACCCGCCTCTCTCAGGGTGTGGGGGAAGAGCGGACAATCAGGAATTTGTATTCACTGTTAGACAGCCATGTGCACCTACTAACATTTCCTCTTGCTGTTCCTGGATATTGAGTTTATGTCATCCTTGACATTGATGAATAGGGTTGACCTCTGAGTGGCTGGATTCCAGGGGCAAAAACCACTCAGGGAATCCCATCTGTTACCACATTTATCACCCAAACAGTCCCTTGGCTCTATTCTCTCCGACTGAGTGGGTAACCTCTCATGCAGCCTCTCAAGGGCATGGGCTACTGGGCCTGTGTCCTCATCCCCCCAGGACCTCATACAGGAGGTGGATGACATGCTGGAGACCCCTGGAGACCTGCGAACCCTGCCCCGATCAGAGCAGCGTTTTGTGGGCTCTAACCTGCTCTTTGGCCTGGAGGATGTGCTAAGAGGGCTGAGTAAGGCCCTGCACAATGGGTCATTGACCTTCAGTTCATCTTCAGGCACAGACAAGTACCTGGGACTTCCCTGCAGGCTTTTTCTCTTCCCCTTCTGAGTTCTATCTTCTCCCAACCTCACTGGAGTCAAGTGATCAGGCTTGTGTATCCTGTTACTCTAATAAGTAAAAATAAGAGTTTTTTTTAAAATGAATTATGCTACGTGAAGTAGTCAGACAAAAACAAATACCACATTATCTCACTTGTATGTGGAATTAAAAGAAAACAAACACCAAACTCTTCGATACAGAGAACAGATTGGTGGTTACCAGAAACCAGGACGAAAGTCCAGGAAATGATGAAAGGGGTCCAAAGGTACAAACTTCCAGTTATAAAATAAATAAGTCATGGAGATGTAATGTACAGTATGGCAAATATAGTCAGTAATACTGTAGTGCATATTTTAAGTTACTATGAATGTAATCTTAAAAGTTCTTATTATAAATAAAACCTGTGTGAAGTAGGGTGCTGTATTCCTTCTTTTGCTTGTGGATAGCCAGATGTCCCAGCACCATCAATTGAAAAGATTATTTATCTCCCCTGTTGAAGGATCTTGACACTCCTTTTTGAAAATCAATTGACCATGAATGTATCGATTTACTTCTGGACTCAATTCTATCTTGTCTAAATGTCTATTCTTATGACAGTACCATGCTGTTTTAATACTGTAGATTGGTAGTAAGTTTGGAAATCAGAAACTATATCTCCTCCATGTTTGTATTTCATTTTCATAATTGGTTTGGGTATCTGGGCCACTTGTAATTCCCTGTGAATTTTAGGATTAGCTTTCCATTTCTGGAAAAAAATTAATTAAATCATGTCAGAATATTGATGTGGACTACACGGCATCTATAGATCACTTTGGGAACTATTGCCATTTTAACAATATTAAGTCTTCCAATCCATGAACATGGGATGTCTCATGATGTATTTAGGGTTTTTAATTTCAACAATCTTTTGTAGTTTTCAATGTGTAAGTCTTGAAATTCCTTGGATAAAGTTTTTCCTAATATTTTGTTGAATATTTGCATATCTATGTTCATAATAGATATTGGTCTATAGGTTTTCTATCTTGTGATGTCTTTATCTTGTTTTGTTTTTAGGATAGTGATGTCCTCATAGAATTATTTACATGATGTTCCTTTCTCTCCTATTCTGTGGAGGCGTTTACCAAGAATTAGTGCTAATTCTTCCATAAATGGCTGGGAGAATTCTCCAGAGAAGCCATCTGTCCTCTGCTTTTCATTTTGGGAAGTTTTTTGATACTGAAATAATCTACTTACCTGTTACCAGATTGTTCTGATTTTCTATTTTCTTAAGTCACTTTTGGTATTTTGTGTGTCTCTCGGAATTTCCCCATTTCATCTAAGTTGCCTAACATGTTGTATAATTGCTCATAATGCTCTATTATAATCCTTTGTAAATTCAAATGATATGTATGTGTACCATTATTATCTGTATCAAATGTTTTTACTTATAACAAATAATATTATTTGTATATTATATATTATGAAATATATAAGGTATTTATATATTTATACATATTATATAATATAAAAATACCTTTATTTTCATGTATATAAATAATATATTATGTCAAGCTCTGCAGGTACAATTACTAATCTAACTCCCTTATATAACCCCCACGACTCTTAGAACTGTCCCTGGAGGTGTTGGAGGAAGGAAACAGGAATATCACCTTGATTCAGAATCAGATAAAGATGATGCTGACCTGGGATACAGTGCATGAATCTAATGACTCAGGTAATGGTTCAGGCAGGGAAAAGGTCACTGAGGCCTCACAGTAGGAAAAGATGCCCAAAATGTGACAAATAGAAAATTAAAGTTTAAAGGGAACTGAGGGGTGTGGTGGGGCCACAGGAAAGAGTTCATCTAAAGAAGGGATCATGTTGGCACCCAAGATGTCAACCTTGTCCTTGTCCCACAGGCCCTGTTGTGGCGGGCCTTGTCTCCACACCAGGGATGGGAAAGTTGCTGGAAGAAGTCCCCCTGGCCCTGGATGAGACACACAAGGGTTTGCTGCAGGAACTCCCCTCCGTCCTGTTGTCAGATGTCATCTCCGCCTTTATCAGCAACAATAATACCCAGAACCTCAGCTCCCCAGTCACCTCTGTTTTCCAACATGTGAGTCCTGGAGGGGTGGAGCTGTGGGTATGGGAGAGGACTGAGTACTGCTCACAGTGTTGGGGTTCGGGGTAGCTCCCCATGGGTGCATCATCTATCCCAGAAAGCCCTTGCACACAAGCCAGCTTGGGTCAGCATTTCTGAGCATCAGATCTACCAGCTCACACCTACTTCCTGTTCCTATAGTCAGTGATCCCTGGGCCAAGGCAGAAAGTGTTCTGTGTCTCCTGGGAGCGTGGCCAGAATGGAAATGGTCATTGGGCCACCAAAGGCTGCAGGACGGTGGGCACCAGAGACAACAGCACCACCTGCCAATGCACCCACCTCAGCGCCTTTGCCGTCCTCACGGCCCACTACTCAGTGCAGGTGAGAGCCGTCAAAGGGGCTGCCTTCAACGTCTACTGCCGTGTAACTAATCCTCACATCTGTAACACCTGGGAAAAAACCACAGATTTATTGTCTTGCAGTTCCTGCAGGTCGGCAATATGACATGGCATAGCTGGGATGTCTGCTCGGGGTCTTACAAAGCTGAAATCATTATGTCAGCCAGGACTATATTCTCTTCTGGGGCTTGGGGACTCTCCTCTAAGCTCCCTGATTTCTGGCAGAATTCAGTTCCTTGTGGTGGTAGGTCTGAGGTCTCTTTTTCTTGCTACCAGGCAGCATGGGACAAGGCTCAACTCCTATGGCCACCTGCATTCTTTTCACGTGGGCCTCTCCTGGGCCCTCTCATGGTGTGTCATTGTTCTTACCTGGAGACCAGCAGGAGAAACTCCCTCACATCAAAACTCTCAAACTTTGATACTGTTTTCCAAGAAAACCCCAAATGTTTTAAAAGCTTGCCTGATTAAGTCAGACCCACCCAGGATAAACTTTCTTAAACTCAGTTAATGCGGGACGTGAATTCCATCTGCAAAATCCCTTCACAGCAGCACTTAAATTGGCATTTGACTTTAAACTTGGAAGTCGTTATGGGTACCCCACAGGATGGGGATATGGTTGTCAATGAGAATCCTGCTTACCACAGGGGCTGCAGCAGGGAAGATTTAGTGATGGTGGAAGTCAGAGGGGAACCAGGGAAGCCAATGAGTACAGATGAGTCAGAAGCTATCTTTGTCTCTTCCCCTGCTAGGTGAGGTGCTTACTTTCCCTGGTTCACCAAAACCAAAAAATCTCCGATGACCTTTAATAATGCGGAATTTACTGAAATAAAAGTAGCACTCACATGAAAGTAAGCATGAAAAGGATCATAGCACAACGGTCAGAACTCATAGGAGACCCCAGAGCTTGCAGAACATTCCAAGTCCATGCTTCCTCCAGCCATGTCACTAGATATCACAATAGTCATACTTTTATTTACATACTGTTTTACATTTATTGAAGAGTTAAAATATTTGAGTTTTAAATTGCAACAGAACAGGAGACAAAACAGGAGCTCCATCTTACTCCTAATTGCAGACACCCAGTCCCTTTTGCTTCAGCACTCAAAGTTGTTAGTTTCTCCTGCACATTTCTACAGACATTTTATATCTCTATAAAAATAATGCATGTATTTCTTATG